ACCTCCTCCATGGGAACAGAGTCACTGACCTCATGTCATAGAGGGCACCGAGGCTCCGAGAAGTCTTGATGTGAGCTGACTTGTCACAGGGCTTGAGACATGGCCAGTTGTGAGTATACTGGAAGACAACAAACATTTTTTAATGGCTTAGAAGAGAGTTACCATGTTAATTCTCATTTGTTTAACCATTTAAAGGAAAATGATGCATGATTTTTTTCATACTCTATATGCATCTGCAGAAATAAACGTGGGTTCTAGAATAGCAATACCTATATGACAACTAAAAAAAAGTAAAATTACTTATTAATATCATGCTGAAATTGGCCCACATTCAAATTTCCCCGTTATTCTCACAATGCCCCAGTTTGTCAAACTGGGATGTAATAAAGAATCAGGATTCCACCTCGCAATAACCTGGATAGAGACCACTCTTCATCCGTCAGGTTCTGGTCTCCTGGCGACAGGCCTCCCTGCTGAGATAATAAACAAAATGTTTTCCTTTGGTCTCTAAAGGATGACCCCAGAGGCTTGAGGGAAATGTAGTCTCACCCTCCAATGACGTCACCAGCACAGGAGTACAAAACAGCCATTCCAAGTTCCTTCTACGCATGTGCTGCTCCACTCACTCTGCCCTCTGGGAAATGTAGTTTTCGTCTTCAATGAGGCCACCTGCGCAGGACTGTGGGAAGGGCTTTTCTGGGTATGTTCTGCGCATGTGCGGCTCCGCGCACGCTGCTGCTGTGCGGAAACTGCTCCTCAGATCCTTCCCCTGAATCGTACATCCCTGAAGGTGGGTACAAGGGTGAAAGAGGAGCCCGCAGGCCTCGGGGTTCTGGGGAACAGGACGGTGTCCCTGCACTTGGAGGCAGAAGCGCCGCGGGCCTTGGGCGGGCGGGGCCTGACGTGCGGCGCCAGCGCGGACCTGGGCTGGGGAAGGGGCGCCCGGGCTGCGCTTTCCAGACGTTTCCAGACGGTTCTGTCAGAGGACGGTGCTGCCGGGTGTGCAGAAGCTGGTTCCAGATGTCCCAGGATGGGGGCTCAGGTCCCAGGTGGCGACGGGAACGTGGGTGGGGGCGTGTGAAGACAGCGAGCCTGGGAGGTGTGGGGAGGTCACATTCCAGCGCCGCCATCAGGAACCTGGTACCGACCTATGGGACGTTCACTTCACCATCTGTACAGTGAGCGTGTGGACATTAGTGTGATGCCCCAGATCCCAGAGAAATAACTGTGAGGTGTGTGCAGACAGAGCGTTACGCTGTGGCCGTTGTGTTATGGGATGTCTCGGTGTCTCTTCAGGAGGTCACGTTTCTGGTCCCTCCTGCCCTGTGCGGCCTGCCTGGTGCTCCTGGTCTGAGTTTACCAGAAGTTGATACACAACCTTGTTTCCAGGACAGTGACTTCTAGGAAGGAGATTGGGGCACTGGGTGTTGGTCCCACTTTCTTTGGAGTGAAGGAAGTGTGACAAACTTTGAAGGACGGTGTCCTGTGAATAGGAATCCCACCTGGGAGAACATCGTTGTGGCCGGAACCCTGTCAGTACCGCTTCAGTCCCAGAAAGGTGAAGGTCCCACCTTTGCACAGCACAAACAGTAACTGTGTCCAGTGTTTACAACGCACCGCAGTTGGTGATGACATCTCACTCAGTAGCTGTCTGAGACTGGATGGTATCAGAAGGTTTGGGCCAACTTTCAGAAGGGAGAAGTGAGTTAGACTGAAAAAGAGAGGCAAGGACCCCGGAGGTGTTACTTATTGAAGGGGGTTTGAAGGTGTTCCGTGGGGTGCAGGAATAACCTGTCACCGCTGAGAGGATCTGTCTGCAGTGCTCTCTGAACACACTCCCATTCCTTCAATCTTCCCTCATTGTTCCCAGTGTCTGAGCTCTCTCAAACCCTGCCTGTCACCAAATTTGGAATCTAGAGATATGCTTATGGTTCTCTATCTTCATAGTTCTTTTCTGGTCATTCATGAATGGTTTTCCCCACATTTCTGCCTTATAAGAAAAGTTTAAAATTTGTTTATGAGGAAATGTGACTTGCCCAGGGTCACGTGATTTGTTGATGTTAGACATCCTGACTTTTTGGCTAGCGTTTTACATTTTGCCACATTTAAGTCAAAACAAGTGATTGTTCACTTTTGAGATTATCTTTGTAATGTGGAGGTCAACTTAGAACGAACATTGCCCTAACATACATACCTTAAACATATCTATCCTTTTTTAACTCCAGAATTTTCTTTGGATTATGTCACCTCAAAGGGTAAATAATGTATTTAATTTTCACTTCATGTT